TAAAAACCAACCAATGGTGTCCCATATCTCTTTAATAAATCTCGACTTCAAACTGAAAATGCCAAATAAACTCTCCCCTAGTAAGCCTAAATGATAATTAATGTTGTCCGTATCTCCTCAGGATGCTAATTTCCATGGCACTGCTCCAACTCGATGCGTAGCTGAAACACAAAGCGTCAGTGTAAAACTATCATCATCGTGGGAGATTTGCACCTGCCGAATCGACTAGGAAGTAGAGAACCAAGTGAAAGTGATGTCCTTGAATTTTATTCTACTTTAGAGTAAAGTAGAGTCATTGTTCACAATACGTGGACATCGAGCAAACCAGATACAAGCTCTAATCATCGATTTGTTGCCTCACAGTTCAACTTTGAGGCTGCAATTACATATTGGTCAGTCAGCTTTATATGAAAGTATGGATGTATTAATTCTTATTACTGGTTGAAAATGCAAAGGTGTAGTGTTGCCAAGACTCGTAATAACAAGTGTCTGAAACACTCTTCGGAAGTTGAAAAAATTAAGCCATGGTGTGTAAAATTTAAAGAAATTTGGCGTGAAAAATTATTCGTGAGGAAAGTGCTAAGAGATCTTTCCTCAACTAACCAGCTTCATAAACAGTATTCCCTCCGAAAAAGGGCGTGGTAAAACCGTGAACCTTGTTACATTTGATAATAAATGCATATTTCTAGGAAGTCCATTCAAATACCCTCGAGAGAATACCACACCCACTTTTTTTCACTTTCACCGGTTTATCGATTATCGAATTTCCATGCTTGCACCTGAACATGTAAGACTACTTATAGAGTAGCCGTCACTTCAATTATGAACTAACCAGGGAGGTAATCATTTATCACTGACTTCGTACTAATTCTGATTTTATTTATATTCTCCAAAACAACGTGTTATCAATCAATGCAGGACTGCCCACAAAGAAGACAATTTCTGCTGTAAGATTTTTAATTCAGAAAGAAATCAACTGACATTACGAAATAGTGCGTTTCTGTATGGCCTTAAAGAGGGCCTTTGCTTCACTGCCCATCAATACGATTTAAACAAGCAAACAAGGGGACTAGTAAGTATATCCATACGAATATTTGGGCATTTCTTCAGTTGACAAAGACCGAACTAATTATACAGTCAGACTTGATACCGTGAAGACCAGTGCCAGTGCCAAGGTTGAAAGTCCTTTCTGTAAGAACTTGTGCAAAACTGCTTCGATTGTTCATTGACCCAGTTCTCCTCTATGATTTGCTTATTGATAATGATGGTGGTGATGAAATCAAGACTATTCTGAAAACAGCTCGACAGACTGCTTAAGCACTAACCTAAAAAGGTCCTCTAGGAAAACGCTATGCAAAATTGCAGAAACATGAGCATTTCCCCTAGGATAAGTCGACAGTAAAGATGTGTTGCAAACACTTAATTTTGTGTGAATTCCAATTTGCCAAAATGGGGATAATCACGGATATCGCGTACAAAGAACTACTTTAGCCAATTCAAAGAGGAAATGAAGCTGTGTTTGGTTTTATTGAGAACGCGGCTAATAAATCAGGTCATTCTAGTATGAAAACTGTCGTGTGTTTGATAAATTTTCAGTCACAATCGAAAAGGCCAAGGAAAAAGTGTAATAATCTGAATGAACTCTCATTGCCCACTACTCTCCGTAGTCGCTTGTGGAAGGTGATGACACCGATCGGTAGACCATCACCAAAACGCCGAAATTCCCCCAAAAAGATGACAGTATTTTATGCCGGTGCTTTGAAAACATATTATTTGGACTTTAAATGCATTAAGAATGTGGAAATGGGGTGAGCTTTCTGAAAGGTATTATAATACAGAGAAAGTTATGATTAAAATATTGTTCTGATTCTCGACCTACCACACAAACTTTGAGACATTGCTTAGCTCGCTTCTATCAGCTCTATTTTTAGACTTTCGCGGTAATTAATAATTATTTTTAAACTGGTCTCTCCACTAATATGTCATATATCAACCTTCCTGTTTACCCAGTTTGCTAATTTTGAAGAATCCTTTAGAAAACAGGTCTATATATTTGTTTTGACGGTACATAGGCTGTTCAAATTTTAGCAGGTTGCGAATGATAGTCTTTAAATTGCAATAATTTAGTTTTGTTTCAATAAGTAAATCGAAGAGAACGAAACAAATAACAAAATCCCGCGTTTTCTAAAAATGGTGCATTAAAAGCATAATTTACTTAAAAGAAATACCTCTCACTGATTTCTTAGTTGGATAGTACGTGAAATGATCTACAAATTGCGTTTTTCCACAGTATTTCTACATTGCGGAAATTGTAAAAAGCGCGAATTAGCATCTCTTTATTAAATTAGTTTAACTTTAAGATGCTCAGGTTTTTGACCTCATAGACATACGAACAAAAAATAATTTGACCTTGAAATCGCGAACAACAGGCGGTATTATTCATAATTTTAATTAGCTTTTTTTCTATTTCAGTTATTCATGTATGTGAGATTCTTTGCATTGTAATATTGCTTCCTTCGGATTCAAAATATTCCTAAACAAGTGTCCAATATGCAAGTGGTCTTTACACCAAGGTAGGAATAATGCGTATTATGCCCTTTATTCTCATGCCTAATTAGAAGGAGTTATAAGATATTCTACACTAAAAGGAATAAATTCCTCTAACTTTAAATCGAGGTTTTGAAAGTGACTATCGGATGAATTCCTTAAAATGTCATGAAACTGCAAATAGAATTTCATTAAGCTCTATCTTCTTTCTCCGATGTTTAATTCGTTAGTTATGTTACTCAGCTGGGGTGCGCGATAGACTTACCTCCACGTGGTGCACCCTGGGTAGCGTATACTCATAGGGCAAAATAGTCTATTAACCGGCAGTTGACTTCTGACTTCAAACCACCATGACCCCATTGTATGTCATATTCGTCCACTTTCACAGTACTCATCTTACCTTTCCACTACCTTTTTGTCTGTCTGTCTGTCTGTCTCTTTTATATATGTGTATCACTCTTCCGTTCTTCACCCCTCAGCTTTCTGTTATTTTGACGAATCTTCCCTCTATGAAACCCGAAGTCAGCTGAGTGGCTAATGACAGCTATCAAAATGCCTGTCATTTGAAATAAATAAATGTTTCGCAGCTTTTAAATTCAGAATTCAGTATCACAAGACTGGGCAAGGTTAATAGACGGTTTACAATCAGCATGTCTTGCTTCAAGATTCCGAAAGGTTTCCGACTAATGGTAAATCGAACAAATAGACCACAAAACCACACCCAAATTTCGAATACCTTGAATTCAAAGGTTTTTTAATTTATTGTCAGATTACAGGATTTATTGACTTAGTTATTTCACTGACTTTTCTGAATTTTGAAATTTAATTCGCAAATTATGTGTAACTTTGCTGTTTCCCAGTTAAGATGCTTCTCTGGAGGGGCGTGACTGGTGTCTATAAGTTTTTGTGCAATTGCCAAACGTACTTCAAGATTTTTGAAAGTAGGATGTGCATAATTTGACAATCTTTACGATGAAATAAAGGTCGTTAACGTGGTTCAAACATAAATTCGTCTTCAGATGAGCTGAACTAAAATTCTAATTACTTGAAAGCTCTCGACATTTATTTGACTATGAAGACTCGAGTGACATCAGCTAATAACAAATCTTACTATTTTAAAATGACTTGGAGACGGAACTATGCCTGAAAATTACCATGGATTCCATAGGGCCTTTCGATCATGACTATCGGTTGCTTTTGATATATCGATTAAATTAGCATATCGAATATATTTATCAAATTTTAAAACGACCGCAGTCCACCTTTATAAAGCAGAGGGATATAGTGAATCATTTCATGACCAACTAATACTAATTTTAAATTCAATAACAATTATCCACAGTAGGGCAACAGGCCTTGAAGAAAGTTGTGGAAGCAAGCAGATTACCAAGTAGTTGTTTAAAGAGTGAATGAGAGGAAATAAAAGTGTGTTTTATTTCTGACTTTACTTTCAAAAATCTGGGGTGTGTGATAGACTTGCCTCCACGTGATAAACCCTGGGCAACGTATACTCATACGGCAAAAAAGTCTATTAACTGGTAATTGACTTCTCACTTCAAACTAATATGAACTCACCCTATGTCATATTCTACCATTTTCACAGTACTCGCCTTACCCTACTCTCGACCTTTGTGTCTGTCTACCTTTTTTATCTGTGATTCGTTTTTTCCCTCTCTTGACTTTTCTCACTTTGATGTTTCTTCTCCTCTCTATGAAGCCCAAAGTCAGCTAAAGGGTTAATGATAACTATCAAAATGCCTGGCATTTGAAATAAATACTTTCAAAAATCTACTCTTTCTCTTTGCTATCGTCTGATTCATCATTGATGCAATTCAGTCACCTTTCAATCTCTTAGATCATTGGATTTCCAACCAACTGTTCCTGTCAGATTACACTAATTGATGCATTTTGGATTTGCCATAATTTTGGTTTATTACTTTGCTCAATTCTACAATTATGATTTAACTCTACTGATGCACCATAAAGATGTAACTTTTAAGATTAAATTTGTTATTTACAAATGTGTGTAAATAAGTATCTTGGTTTTATTAATTAATTGAAAAAGGTAGATTGCTATTTTTAATTAAAATTCTAGCTAACATTGTTGGTTGTGAGTAAGTTTACTTTAAGAAGCATCAAGTTCTCTTACGTATATTGCAGCAGTATTTAGGTGTAGGGCAATTATGTTATATAAAATTAACTTGCATGGAACTAAAGTTAAAGCCTGAAGCTGAAGGACAATTGGTCCAATAGGAAAAAGATACGTAGGATCCTATTGGTTGCTTACTCGGTACACGTGTCTAAGAAATGAAATTATTCTTTGCTTGCGTTTTATCATATTGTCCGTTAATATAAAGCCAAAATCAAAGAAATTAAGACAATGGAATAAATTAAATAAAATCTATTCGTAGCTAAAACGAAAATACGACAAAGAAACATAGCTTAACAACAACCTAATTCATATATTCAACAAGCTTTGTGACGAAGGTCTTCATTGTTTCAGCCCTTTTGTTGCTAGTTTCCAGGACTTCTTCATGATTGGCTAGTTCATCACTATCTTCATCTTGCACGATCATGTTGGTAATAAGAGACATAGCAAAGACTTTCATATCAGCATGTCTAGCAACGCTAGTCTCATGCACTGTGCTCATTCCGACAGCGTCTGCTCCAACCAAACGAATAAAACGAGCCTCGGCGGGAGTTTCGTACGTTGGGCCTATTTGAGCAGCATAAACACCTTCACGAAGAAATTCCCCTATGTTCAATTCAGCACCAATTTTCTTTCCAAGTTGTCTGAGTTCTTTAGTATATATATTTGACATGGCTGGAAAACGGGGTCCAAATCTAATTAAAAAGATAAAAGCATTTAAATTAAGGCGCTTACTTATCTTCATTGTGGCCAACAAGTGGGTTTTTGCCAGTTAAACCGCACAAACTGATATGGTCTTTAATAATCATCATGTCACCAACTTTGTAACGAGGATTTAAACCACCAGCGGCATTAGTAACGATCATTGTTTCGACACCAAGTAATTTGAATACTCTAATAGGAAGAGTGATCTAATAAAAAAATTATTTTGTAATATAAAGCAAACCTGGCTCATTTCATAACCCTCATAAGGATGAAATCTACCTTGCATCACAACAACATTTTTGCCTCCAAGTTTACCAAAAACGAGATTACCAGCATGACCGGCGACAGTGCTTTTTGGGAACTCTTTGATTTCAGAGTATTTAATAATAACAGGATCTTTGACTGTTTCAGCTAGGGTACCCAATCCAGAGCCACAAATAATACCAACTTTTGGGCCAATATCCACCTTACTTTTGATGTAATTGGCAACTGATAGAGCCTGATCGTAAGATCCCATAGCGATATCTCGTTTGCAAATTAATTAAACTGGAGACTAGCTTCGACATTTGGTCAAGGTTGCTTTATAAATGGTAATCAGTTAGAATAAACATTTTCAAACCGTTTAATTTAGGCAATTTTATTCTAAGAATTTGAAAATGATAACTTTATTGTGCTATAACTAATGCAAAATATTTATTGTCTCATATATTGTCATTCTATATTAATCTTTTCAGAAAATTTTAAGAGCATAACTAAGATAAGAATTCACTAATTAAAAATGTCACTTTGCTCTAATGAAAAGGCACAAGTTTTCGATTAATATGACGGATAGTAAAGCCCATTTTAAATCAATTTAATAATGTATAAATCTGGCTTTAAGCGTAAATCTGCCAAACAAATGTTTTAATAAAAATTCTTCAAATATGTCGAAAAAAATCAAAACAACATATGAAACAGGTATTTTCAATCTATTTTCTTAAATGGAATAGTGTGAAATATTTATAACATGTTGAAAATCATTGAAATGAACGGGAAAAATTAAAGGAGGCAACTTTAAAACAGTGATGTGTAGAGCAAGAATTACATTGAATCTATCAAAAAATATAAAATATAATGAAAATTATTCAACCCAGTGTATAATATTAGTCAGAGTCATTTTGAGTAGTATATTGTATCTTCGAGCATATGCAAACAAGTACAAATGAAGTTTATTTATTTATGTCAAATGGCAGGCGTCTTGATGGTTTTCATTAGCCCTTTAATTGACCTCAGACTTCATAGAGGAGAAGGAACATCAAAGTGAAAAAGGTCGAGATGGGGGGGGACAGAAGAGTATTTCAAAGATGTAAGAGACAAACACAAAGGTAGAAAAAAGGAAAGAAGAGTACTGTGGAAATAGTCGAATATGGCATAGAGTGAGGTGGTGGTAGTTTGAAGTGAGAAGTCAACTGTCAGTTAATAGACTTTTTTGTCGTATGAATATACGTTGCCCAGGGTGCTCCACGTGGAGGTAAGTCTATCGCACACCCCAGTACGAATGAAATTACTTCAGTACAAATGAAGTAATTTCAATCTAAGTGGAAGTATGTTTTTTCAAAGCCATATAGATAAGCGCATATATAAAGAGAATGATTATGCTCAAAGGACGTAGGTAATTTCATCATGACTTAAGGTTCCCTAAATAACATCATTAAAAATTTTGAATCTTTCAATTTTTTTCAGGTTAGTCATTTTAACAAGAACGGAGAAGTTTGAAAAGGTTTATAAGCGTTTTCCCTAAGTTTGTCTTCATATGAAGTTTGAAATTTCAAGGAAAATGAACACCTTG